TCAGAACCAGAGATGATGGATTTAGGAAGGGGGTGGGGGGGTATAGTATGGGATTGGGAGGGGGAGGAGGGGTCAGAACCAGAGATGATGGATTTAGGAAGGAAGGTGACACCCCGAGATGAGGGATTGGAAGGGGGGGGGGGACATTACTGGAGCCGCACGTCTGTAGTGCTTTGGTGGGACTATAGATGATCCGGGAGGGAAAGGGGGTCCAACCTCTCACCTTGTCCAGGGAACTCTTGGCGGGGGGTTCTGGTGGTTTCTGGTTATTTTCGGCACTGGTCTGGGTGGGATCCGGGTCGGTGACGTCCGTCTCCGGATTCGTCCTGTAAGAAGCAGACGGTTTGACCTCAGGGGTCAGGGGAGGAGTCTAGTGGGGGGCTGCACATCATACAACATTAACATACCCGCCATTGTCGGGACCTCCTCCGCTCTGCTCCTCCTCCTCCTCCTCGGATCGCGCCATCATGGCCTCCTCATGGACCTCGCCGCCTAGAGGAAGATGAACAGAGATTATGCCTTCCATCCCCTGGATTCATGGAACAGTCATGTGAGGGGGGGGTGTTGGGTGACAGTACTCTGCTCCTCCCAAATTATTCTTCCGATATCCCCATTGCCTCTCCACCAGTCCCCGCCCCTCTTCCTTCCTGTAGACTGTAAGCTCTTGTGCCGAGTTTCCCCCGTATGGAACATTATGTTCTCTCTTTGTACTGCGATCCGTCTACTGTCAGCACTTCGTACTCGGCTAGAAAACAGAAAGAACTTAGATGTTCTCCTGATGGCGGCACTACCCCCTCCCCCCCGCAGAGTGTAAGCTCTTGTGGTGTCAGTGTAATGACACGCTCCCCGCCGTCCACAACCACACCGGTGATTATCTGCGGTGCTTGGCGTCTCCCCTGGGGGTGGGGGCGTTACCTGGGGCCCCTGGGTGATCCCTCCCCGATCTCTTATTATAGACATCAGGTGCAGTGTGCAAGACTTACATCAGGTGCAATGTGGCCCCCAAGGGGCCCCATACTCTATTAACCCTCCCCGCGCCAGACATTTAGTGGGGCTGTAATTAAATATCACTCGGCAATAATGAATCTATTTACAAGAGATTTCCTCGGCACCGGTTCTAGCGGATACTTCCAGAGTCTGTGCAGCAGGCAAGCCCAGCACCGGTCACACGGCAAGCCCAGCACCGATCACACCGACGGTTGTATCACCGCCAGCCAATGGGAAAAGGCAAAAAGCTGGAGATTTGATTGGACGGTAAATGGTCCGCAGTGAGCAGGGCTCTGATATGGAGGAGACACAAACTCATATGGGGCACACAACTGGGGTGACATGTCTGTATATAGGGGTCCACCCCAGGAAGAGGTTCATTATGGGAGGGGTCTACATATAACTCTATAGGGGGGAGTGACAGGTCTGTATACGGATGTGGGGGGGGATCTCACCCGCGGACGGCTTTCCGGTCTCCCGCTCCTCCTCGACGGGAATGTTCGGCAATCTCCGGAGAGCACCGGATGCCAGCCTATCACCGCGTCCGGCGTGTAGGGGGCGGGGACTAAGCTATCCAGCGAGGCTCTGACGGAAATTGACGAGTGAAGGCGATCCGAGCCGAGGGAGTTCACCTCGGATGTAAGAATGGTTGGCATGGAGACACAGGAAGACGGAAGTAGTGGTTGTTAGGGACGCTGAAGGTCGCCAGGCACCGCTGCTAGCTATGGAGGTGCCGGTCCCGGAATGTCTGCGTTGGAGCTGCCGGGATGTGGGAGGCTGGAGAGG